TGCATTGTGGTAAACTGTGGCCAATGTCATGAGACAAAGTATATGTGAACTGCTGTATGGAAAGTGAATTTGCTCTGTAAATCTTCACCCAAATCACAACAAAAAAAGAAAAAAATGAAGACACTCAACAAGATGACTGACACAGTGGCTACAACAGTGGGCTCAAACATAGCAACAATTGTGAGAATGGTGCCAGGTTGGGCAGTGTTCTGTTCTGTTGTATATAGGGTTGCTATGAGTCAGAACTCACTTGAAAGCATCTAACAACCCAACAACTAATCAAAAGGTTGGCAAGTCACCCAGCAGCACTGTAGAAGAAAGGCTTGGGAATCTATTTCCGTAAGACCACAGTCACTTAAAACATTAAGAAGCACAGTTCTACTCTGAAACACCTGGGTCACCAGGCGTCAGAACTGACTTGACAGAAAATAGTTTGGTGTTTTGTTTTATTTTAATGTTGTTGTTAGTGCCATCAAGTCGGATCCAACTCAGTGACCCTATGTACAACAGAACAAAGCACTGTGCAGTCCTGCATTATCCTCACAATTGTTCCTATGTTTGAGCCCACAAGCTATCTTGTTGAGGGGCTTCCTCTTTTTCACTGACCTTTTACTTTACCAAGCATATGTGAGGTGCTTGTGGTCCACCGAGGGGACTGGATAGCTTGCTAATAATGTAAATAACATGCATCTTACCCTTGTGGGGATGGTACCATGCAAATAAGATGTATGGAACTATAATGGGGGGATTGGTCAGTTTTGCCATCCTGCTAGGCTTAAAATGAACCATCCCAGAGGTGGAAAACGGGGCTCTCACTACCATCAAGAAAGAAGAGCCAGGAGTGGAGTGTGTCCTATGGACCCAAGATCTCAGCTCTGAACCACCTCAACAGGAGACAGAGAGAGAACTGTAACAGTTGGCGGCATAAGTGGGATTCACTTCAGTGGTTCCGGACTCATGGAAGCATGGGACTTTGTAAGAGAAAGAAGGAAGGGACATGGGAAGTAAAACTTTTGATTCTTAGATGGTTACTTTGGATGGTGTCATGCTGGAGCAGCAGATAAAGAAACAGAGGATAGGAAAGCTAATCCTGGAGTGGCTTGGGGCAAAAGCCAGGCTGGATAAGCAAGATGATTGTTTCACCCAGCCAGAGGCCCAAAGCCATATGCATGTGTATAGAAAGAGAGTCAAAGTGTAGAAAAGAAGAAACTGTAATGTTTTAAAAAGGTCTGTGTTCATCAGATTGCACTATGGATATGGAATGTTTCTTCAACCTTGTGTCATAAAATAGACCTAAATATATGATAAAAAACCAAACCAAACCAAACTTCCTGCCCTCGAGTTAGATCCGACTCATAGCAACCCCTCCTTGGGTTTCTGAGGCAGTATCCCTACAGGAGTAGATTGCTCAACCTTCCTTCTGAAGAATGGCTGGTGGGTTTGAACCGCCAGCCTTCTAGTTAGCAGTCAAGTGCCTTAGGCACTATGGCACCAAAGCTCAGAAATGAATATTAGGAATTACAGGTTACAGAATGCACACAACTCTGCCTCAGTCAATATTTGACTGGATATGCTAAAAGAGGTACTAGGATTTGCCGGAAGAAACAAAGGTTTTTTTTGTTTCAAGAGCATTGGGGGTTTAGCTCAAAAACCTGAGCCCCACCCAGAAATTTGTGTTTGAAGATATACAGAGCTACCCAGAACTACTGAGAATAGGAGATTTGCATTTGAAGGAAAAACCTGAAGGGGAAATTATGGCTTTTTGAATTGCAAGCAAGTGGTTTGCTACTGAATACACATTGTTGTTGTTGTTTGCCATGAGTCCCGACTCATAGTGACCCCTCCTTGGGTTTCCGAGGCAGGATCACTACGGAAGTAGGATCACTACGGAAGTAGGATCACTACGGAAGTAGGATCACTACGGAAGTAGGATCACTACGGAAGTAGGATTGCCCAACCTTCCTTCCGAGGAGTGGCTGGTGGGTTTGAACCGCCAGCCGTCTGGTTAGCAGGCAAGTGTCTTAGCCACTATACTACCAGAGCTCCCTACACATAGGCAGGAAAAAGTCAGTACCCATCAAAAGAACCCCCTTTTAGTATTGAAAGTTAAAGGGAGTCGGAGAGTAGACAGCCTACTATGCTTACTTACGGTGACCACCTAGATCCACTTGATGAGTGGGAAGTGGAGAAGGCACACCAGAGACATGCTGAGTTTGGACATGTTCCTTTGGTACCTGCTGACCTAGGGCTGAGGATGAGAGACAAAGGGCTTGCTGGTCTGAGATGCGGGGAGTTGTGTGGTCTCCCAAGCTCATGGCTGCTACCATTAACCTAGCTTGTGCTGAACCTCCTCTACCCAGGAAAGAGAGAGCTGTAATATTTTGGTAAGATAGCGAGAAGCAGTGACAGAGAAACAGCAGTGGCAGAACCAGGACACCCAGCAGGAGACAGTACAAACCCATGAAGCAAGAAAGCTGAATGCTTTTGGGCGAGGCTTGCTAGTGGAGTGGGTGCCTCTGCAGAGATCAAGGAGTTGATAGAGCAGGGCCGAGGCCAGGCTGAGTGGCCAAAGACCAGAGAGAGGTGTGCCTGCAGGCACTGCTGAGAAGAGTCTGTCCTGATCAAAAAAACTATATCCTGAGTCGTTTTGGATTCTGAATTGTTACCTGTTACTTCCTTAATAAACCTCATAATCTTGAGTATTGTCTGTGAGTTCTGTGTGGTCACTGCACTGAATTACTGAACCCAGTCGAGAAGTAAAGAGCGCCATGGGAAGGGCAGTTGGTATCAGAATTGGTAAAAAGGTTGGAGGATGGAGGCATATCTGACCTCTACCTCATAGGAATAAGCCTTGGGCTATTGAACTTGATCCTCTTTCCATTTGTAAAGTTAGAGGAAGTCAGATGCCACCCTCACATCATGTTCACACAACTCTTTGAATATTTGAAGATTGTTTTCTAGTCCATAGCAAGCATCCTTAGTTCTTTCAAAAAGACCCTTAGAGGCTTATTTCTTTTTTATTGTGATTGGTCTTCCCCTCCTCCACACCCCTTTCTGGTAGCTTATAGAGTACTAAGCCGGAAGCTTTGTACTTTGTAAATTTTAACATTCTTGGGCCAGGCAGCAAAACTATCGAACTTGCACATGGTGAGGGTACATAACCACACACATACTGCTCCTGAGTTATTCCCAAAGGTTGAGTAATCAAAGTCTACTACTACTATGAATTGACTCCCATATACCAGATTCTGTTTAAACTCTTTACATGTTTTAGTTCATTTAATTCTCACAACCCAAGGTTATCTCTATTTCTTCAGGTGAGGAAACTGAGGCACAGAGATTTTAAGCCCTTCAGCACTAAGCTGTACCATCTTTCCAGAATGTTGATGATAATCATAAAGCAAAGAAAGATAAATCTGCTACCTGGAAGCAGAAGGGTGTCTTCAACTGCCAAAGTTATTGTCACTGAAGCTTAGAGCTCAAAATCTGAAATTGATCTGGAGTGGAGTTAGCTAGCGAGTTGTCTGATAGTTTTGAGTTTAAGAGCCTCTAACAAAACAACTTTCCATCTCTCTAGAAGTTAACTTTGCTTTTGTTAGCTTGATTCATTCCAACCACGGGAAAGAACACCAGGAGTCTTTCTCTGAACTGGACGCCTGAAGTGGGATGGAAAGAGTTGAACTGAAACGGGGCTCGAACACATCCTGGGCCCATTTCTTATAACATGTGTAACTCGGGCAAGTCGTTCAGCTTCTCTGGGATCCGTAAGAATGTGGATTACACAAAGCTTCTAAAACAGGGAGCGCTGTGAAAGCACACTGTAAACAGGAGCTACACAAAAGCTATTCTGGTTGCCGTGGCGCGCATGGATGGCAGGACCAGCTACACCCCTCCTCCACTGCTCCAAAATCGAAAAACTGAGGCAAACAGCGAGCTGAAAGCGGGGTGTGTGAAAGAGGACGAGAAGTGCTGGGTGTGAGCTGTTCCCGATAGCGTGACTGGAAGCAGAATCTCTCGAAAGAGGCACAGTTTTTCCTCCTGTTCCCCTCCACCACCCCCGACCCTCGGTTCTTCTGCGTACCTCACAGGCGCGGCGCGCACGAGTCAGTTTTCACCCCACCACCCCTCCACCATCGTTACCTCGGCGAAAGCAACAGGCTAGGGACACGCTGCCATTGGTTCCTCTCCGTTGCTACCAGGAGCACTGACAATGCAGAGGCTGCTGCCATGTCCCCTAAGGTAGGCCACTCTCCGACTCCCTAGCACACACGCAGCTGCGTCCCACACATTGCAAAAACCTTTCCTCTGCAAGCCTATAGTCCTCCGTCGGCCACCGTCAAAGGCTGGGTCAAGCAATAGGCCAATCCACAGACAGCATTTGGAGGGGGCGTCTCCGCTAAAACCAATCAAAGGATGGAGCTACGCTTCAGTGGAGACGATTGGCCAATCAGGGCGCGTACCCTCAAGTGTTCGTTCTCCAATTCTTCGACCCCAGGCTTCTGCGCCACTTGGGAAGGAGTCTTTTCTACCCGCAGTTCTTTACTTAAGTGCCTTCAGTACCTTGACCGTTATTTCCTCCTGTGGTCTGCGGCCCGCAAGGTTCCTTCGCTCTATTCTGGCTCTAGGGAGAATCCTTGTGACCTTTAGTATTAAAGCCGCCAGCAATAGAGCAGAGGTGATGGGAAAAAAAGTCAAATGGGGATAAAGCTATCACTAAAGCAGGGCTCATAAGAAAGTTCATATTGAAAGTAAGTTAAACTAACTTCCAATTCAAAGATTAGAGAAATAATTCAAAAGAAACGTAAGGGAAGAAGAAAGAAAGTGGTAAAGAAGAAATGATTTAAGAAAATTGACATGACATAATTAGTAAATCTAAGGATTTAGAAAAAAAAAAAAAAGCTATTTAGACAATTTCTGGTGGCGTAGCGCCTAAAGCATTTGACTGCTAACCACAAAGCTGGCGGCTCAAACGCACCAACCACTTCTGTAGTGATGTTGTTGTTGTTATGTGCCATCGAGTCGGACCGGACCCAACTCACCTCGGAAACCCAAGGAGGGGTCGACAAAAGTCGGTTCTGACTCCACGGCTGTGAGTTTGTTTTTTTAACCAAAAATAAAGGAGGAGAAGGGTAAAGCATACTTGCCATGATTCAAAACAAAACAACAAGATACCAAAGCATTGTAAAGTGAGAAGAAAGATTGCAGATAAAAATTGTAGATTTGTACGAGACAATTTTACTTTAAGCAACTAAACATGAAAACATGTATGAAAAGAATGATATTATAAGAAAATAGCCCTGGAGAGAGAGAAAATCTAAGAAGCCACTACCATAGGAGAACTAGAGAATCTTGTTAAAGAACTGCCTTTCCCACCACCCTCACTTCTACCTTCATATCTCTGGTGGCCCACATTGTCTCACAAAGGAATGCCACACAAATGGTCAAGTAATTGATTTCAATAATACTAATTTTGTCCCAGAGCATGAAAAAAGACATATATCTTCCATTTTTTTTTAATGAAGTGAGCATAATATTGATAGTAAAATCTAACTAAGATAGCATGCACACACAAACAATACTTGGAAGCTATTAAAATTTTAGTAAATTCAACTGCATAAAAATTCTGTAATTTGCAACTCTTAAGGGCTAATTTCTTGAAGGCTAATTTCCTTCATATATAAAGAACTCCTACAAATTAAAAAGAAAAAAGATCTATAATGAAAATGTGTAAATGAGGAGTTCATATTATAGGAAATGTAAGTAAACATGACACTTAACCTCATACCAAATGAGGGAAATGCAAATTTAAACTGTAATGATATACCATACCTCACCTATTACATTGTTGCTGGGTGCTGTTGGACCAATTCCAACTCATAAAGACCGCATGTGACAGAATAGAATTACCTCATAGGGTTTTCTAGTCTGTAATCTTTATATGAGAGATATATTTATACAAAGTGCCCTGGTGGCATAACAGTTAAGCGCTCAGCTGCTAACTGAAAGGTTGATGGTTCGAACCTATACAACAGCTCCTCCTATAAAGATTATAGCTTAGAAAACCCTAAGGGGCAGTTATATTCTGTGTCACATGGGGTCACTACAATTCAATTCAATTTGATAGCACACAACAACAGTCTTTACAACAGCAGATCACCAGGTCTTTCTGCCACGGAGCTGCTAGGTGAGTATAGTGCAGTGAATTGCATGATATGATTCTTCTAGCCATAGTCTTTGTGACTTCCACCAGATTACTGAGTGGGACTATGCAAATGTGAGTTGCTTGTGGCCCACCAGGGGGATTGGATAGTTTACTAATATGTAAGAAAGGTGCATGGCACCCTTGTGGGGGTGGCATTATGCAAATAAGGTGTATGAAACTCTCATGTGGGGATTGGTCAGTTTTTCCATCCACTAGGCTTAAAATGAGCCATCCCAAAGGTGGAATGGAGGATCTCACTACCATCAAGAAAGAAGAACTAGGAATGGAACATGTCCTTTGGACTCGAGATCCCTGTGCTGAACCTCCTTGACCCAGAAGACAGTCAGAATTGACTTAATGGCAGTGGGGTTTTTTTTTTTTGGTTACCTTCAAATGCAGATCCTAGGAAAACCAAACATGCGTGGTATGTAAAAATGGTTTTACTTAATCCCATCATTTCCTCAGGTTATATTTGTGGGCATTTTATTTACGTGGGTATGTTATTTGCAAAGAAGTATGGGCATTTATTTATGTGGGTATGTTATTTGCAAAGAAGCCATCTGGCCCACAAAGCTTATTTACCATCGTGTCTTTTACAGAAAACATTTGCCTAACCCTAGGAAAGTTACATATTTAAGTTTATAAGACACTGCTAAAATTTTTCCATAAAATAGTTGTATCATTTTGTTTTCATACCAGCAATGAATGATAGTTCCATATCAGCTCTTGGCATTGCCAATCTTTTTACTTTAATCTTGGAAGTTGTGGAATGGTATCTCATTGTGGTTTTCATTAATAGCAACTGGATTGGCCTTGGTAAGTGGGAAGTCATGCTGTTGGGTCCACACTTGACCTCCATCTCTTCCAACATGGCCACTCCATTTACATGCCCTTGCAAGTTCTGGTCTGGTCTATGACAAGGCAAGCTAACTCAACTTCCTGAGTTATTTTGTCTACTTGGCGTCTCAGTGGCTTTTTCATGTTGAATGCTTTCTGGTAGACATTAGCATGTGATGCAAAAATCTTCATACTTTATGCTTATTCCAGTGAGTCCATCCACATGTCTCTACCACAGACCTCCTTATCTCTGAGCTGCTAATCCTTTTCCTTCCAGATTTCTGACCAGATGTCTTAGTTAATCTTGTGCTGCTACAACAGAAATACCACAAATGGTTGGCTTTAACAGACAGAAATTTATTTTCTCACAGTTTAGGAGACTAGAAGTCTGCATTCAGGATATCAGCTCTAGGGGAAGGCTTTCTCTCTCTGTTGGCTCTGGAGGAAGGTCTGCTCCTGGATGATCTTCATGTGGCTTTACATCTCTCCTCTCCTATCTCTGTTTTCTTGGTTGTTTAATCTCTTTTATATCTCAAAAGAGGTAGACTTAGGACACACCTACACTAATACTATCTCAGTAACATAACAAAAATCCATTCCCAAATGGAATTATAACCAAAGATATGTTGTTGTTGTTGTTGTTATGTGCTGTCGAGTCGGCCCCGACTCATAGTGACCCCTCCTTGGGTTTCCGAGGCAGTATCGCTACAGAAGTAGGATTGCCCAACCTTCCTTCCGAGGAGTGGCTGCTGGGTTTGAACCGCCAGCCTCCTGGTTAGCAGTCAAGTGCCTTAGGCACTATGCTACCAGGGGTTAGGATTTACAAACATATTTTGGGGAACACAATCCAATGCATAACAAGGTCAGTGACCACCATAATCCCTAGGAATTAGTATATTTTTTCCAGATTGGACTACTTTTTTTCCCATACAAAGTGGATGACCAGATGTCCTGCTTGCTGGTCTGCGTATCTAGAAGACTTTTTTTTCCTCATTGTCTTTCAGGGACACTTCTGAATGTGGCTGTAATACAGCTGTTCTCCAGTGTTGGTTTGCTTCACATACCAACCCAACTAATCCATAAACCAAGCTTGAGCTATTTATTCCTTTTTCAACTAGTTACATGCTCCCCATCCACCCATACAAGGAACAAGCCAGGAAGGTGCACTGGTGCAATTCTAGTGGGAGATGTGGGGATCTGAACTACCTAATCATGCAGCTTACTCATACCTTCTGATCCTGCTTTGGCCTGATCCAGGTTGTAAAATTTCCATCTTATAATTGACTACTTCTGGGCCTGTCCAAAGGAGTTCTGGTGGTGTAGTGGTTAAAACATTTTAGCTGCTAGCCAAAAGATCAGTGGTTCAAACCCACCAGTCGCTCTGCAGGAGAAAGATGAGGCAATCTGTTCTATTAGGATTTACAGCATTGGAAACCCTATGGGCAGTTCCGCTGTGCTCTAAAAGGTCACTATGAGTTGGAATTGACTCAGTGGCAGTGGGTAGGTGGGACCTGTCTAACTATAACTTAGTGAGTTTGACAGAACCCAGCTCAAAATAGTCAGTTATGGAAATGTAGTCACTTGGTGTCTGTGACAATTAATATTATGTGTCATCTTGGCTGGCTATTATTCTCAGTGGTTTAGCAGAAATTATGTAATCATCTTCCATTTTGTGATTTGATGTGAGCAGACAATTAGTAGAAAGGAGTGTTTCCTTTGAGGTGTGACATGCCTCCAGTATTTAACTGTATATTCTGGCAAAGCTCAGTCTCTCTCTCGACCCTACATTCATCTTATCACCTGACCTCCAGTTCTTGCTACATAAGCCTGTAGAAATCTTCAACCTGCTGCCTGATCTCCAACTTTTGAGTTTGTCAGCTCCTGCAACCAAGTGAGCCAGCAGAAATCGTCAGCCCCTCACCTGACCCATGCATCATTGACTTCCTAGCCCATACAATTGCATGAGCCATTTCCTCACAACTGTGCGAGCCATTTCTTTGAAGAAAATTTCTCTCAATATTTATATGCAGGCATACCTCAGAGATATTGCGGGTATGATTCCAGACCAATGCAATAAAGTGAATATCACAATAAAACAAGTCACATGGATTTTTTGGTTTCCTAGTGCATATAAAATTTATGTTTAAAGGTAAAAAGAAAGAACAGCAATAAAAGTTATGTTTATACTATACTGTAGTCTATTAAGTGTGAAATAAGGAGCTCTGGTAGCATAGTGGCTAAG